GTGTCTGTGGAGTAGCTGTCCCTATACAGAGGGTGCCTAGGCACTGTCCCATGTGCAAAAATGCCCTGCTGCTTTAAAATCATGAATTATATACTAATGGTCATTTTTTTATATCAATCTGCCGTCACAACTGTGCTAATGAATCCCTTTTAGACAGTCAATCGCTGTATTTTAGGCATGGGCCCACTTAAAATGTCCCCTGCTGTCAGCGCAGGCTCAGTGGCACCTAGTGCTGCCCTTCTCTCTTCCAGACAGAGTGCTGCTGTAAAAGGAAGGGCAAAAGGCAGATATCAAGACAGGTTGGAGAATGCACACCTGTATCAGACTTTGTACTATATCTGCCTAGAGTTCATTGTAGAATACTTTTTAATAGATGACAGGTTCTCTTTAAGGGTCCTGCATATAAACACTGGAGGGTAATACAGGACACTCATCAGAAGCTACATTCTGCCTTGAATACAAAGTGACTGGAACGGGAAGAGAAGGAAGTCTGTGCTATTCATTCAGCTGTGTGTGTGTATGAATGGGGACATTGTAGGGAAAGTGAAAGCATCCTGGCTCAGTTATCTATACGGCATTGTCCTACGGAGAAGCGGGGTGACTTTTCCCAGGCACACGCTCCAGTAGCATGCTCCATTGCTGAGCATCGCAAAGCCTAAGGCAGTCTTGGCCGTCATTATTATATTATCTATCCCAGTGTTTCTCTACCTTTTTATAGTTGTGGCAGTATGCAAAATCCAGAGGCACCCCAGTGTAAAGTGTACAGAAAGTGGGGTTTCCCCCCCCATGTCTCCCCTCTTCCCATCAGACCCCCCGATCCTATTAGTGTTCCCCCTATCACGTCAGAGTGCTCCTCCTTCACATCAGAACCCCCCCTTCCCCCCTTCACATTAGAAGCCCCCTTCATATCGGAGTCCCCCCTCTTCCCATCAGAGTTCCCCCTTTCACATCAGAGTGCTCCCCCTTCACATCAAAATGCCCCCTATTCCCATCAGAGCCCCCCCTTTCACTTGAGAGCGCTCCCCATTCACATCAGAACCCCCGCCTTTCACATTAGAAGCCCCCTTCACATCAAAATGCCCCCTATTCCCATCAGAGCCCTCCTCCTATCAGAATTCCCCCTTTCACTTGAGAGCGCTCCCCATTCACATCAGAACCCCCGCCTTTCACATTAGAAGCCCCCTTCACATCAAAATGCCCCCTATTCCCATCAGAGCCCTCCTCCTATCAGAATTCCCCCTTTCACTTGAGAGCGCTCCCCATTCACATCAGAACCCCCGCCTTTCACATTAGAAGCCCCCTTCACATCAAAATGCCCCCTATTCCCATCAGAGCCCTCCTCCTATCAGAATTCCCCCTTTCACTTGAGAGCGCTCCCCATTCACATCAGAACCCCCGCCTTTCACATTAGAAGCCCCCTTCACATCAAAATGCCCCCTATTCCCATCAGAGCCCTCCTCCTATCAGAATTCCCCCTTTCACTTGAGAGCGCTCCCCATTCACATCAGAACCCCCGCCTTTCACATTAGAAGCCCCCTTCACATCAAAATGCCCCCTATTCCCATCAGAGCCCTCCTCCTATCAGAATTCCCCCTTTCACTTGAGAGCGCTCCCCATTCACATCAGAACCCCCGCCTTTCACACTAGAAGCCCCCTTTACATTAGTATCCCCCCTTTTATCAGAGTTCCCCCCTTCATATCAGAACCCTCCCCCCTTTCACATTAGAAGCCCCCTTTACATCAGAGTACTAAGGCAGGACTCCTGCCCTCTTTTGAGTGCTCGGGGAGCTCCTGGATGTAACCCCTCCAGATTAATGTCATGCATTTCAAGGGTGATCATCACTGTGGTAGGTTACCTGAGCAGTTAACCCTTTACACACCGTACACACCTCCATGTGCAAGAAACAAACTATAAAAAAAAGAAACGTTCATAGCATCTGCTGTTGAAATTATGAACTTTTAAAATACAGATCTGTATCACAACCAGACAGGAATGTAACAGAGTTTACAAAGCATTACAGATTATACCTGCCCTTGTCCTGTGCCCGGCTGTTCCCTCTGCCTCCTTTTCCCCGGCGCCTGCCGGATCTATGTGAGAGGCATCAGGGTCGAGATCACTCCACAGCAGGAGGCAAACAGACCGGCACAGTCAAGTCACTGGCTTGGAGAATGGGTGGCTGGTTTCCCCACCGGCGGTGCTGCTGCTCTTTTTCTGTCTGAGGCTCCGGGCAAAAGGGACAGCTGCTGTGGGCCCCTGTAAATTTTTGGGGCCCAGGGCAGCTGCCCCTTTTGCCCTGCAGTAAAGACAGCCCCGATGGTAAGAATTATGGAATATGAATTGAATTTGGCTCTGGACTCGAAGTCGAAGCATTTTCCAAATAATTTTACGCCCTGGTTCTTTATGACCGGGCCTTTTGAGGCTAACGGAGGTTTATGACACGGCCGTATTCCTTCTTTTCGGGTCTGTGTACTGTCAGAGGTGATTCAAGTTGGTCTGTGGTTGATCAAAATGTGTCACCTTCTCTGGCTGGCCACCACAGACATAAGATTAAAATTGAGTAGAAATGAGGGTGGCACTGTGTTCAATATGACTTCCCATTCTCTCCACACAGTTTGGGGGTCACCTGACATCATTTTGCATATAGGAACAGTAGTGGTGAAACAAACCCCCACTGGTGGGCATAACCAATCATCTTTTGCCTATTACTTCTCCGCAAATTGCCAAATTGGGGAATGGCAGGTGTGTGTTTTTTGCCTATATATTTTTTACTGAAAGGTGTCTTTCTGCTCTCGGAAAGTTGGCAGGTAGGTGAGCGGGGTGGGTTTATGGCAGGACACCGATCTATTAGTTAATCTTCAGGCACTAATCCCTCAAAGTATCCAGGAAATAGTGCAACTGTGTTAAAGTGCACCTATGCCCAGACTAAGGATATTTACATGTTCTTAACACGCAGGATAAGAGCTTTAAAACAAGTCACCCCTGATCTCTCTAGCTGCATGTACTGAGAACTACCTCATCCTCAAATGGTCACAACAAAGACTCTGAACTTAGTTTCTAAGGCCTCATTCACACACAACGCAAGCAAAATTGTATATTGCGTATATACGCGTCTATGTGCGTATAGACGAGCGTCTATGCGCGTATATACGAGCGTATATGCATGCACTATATGCAATCCCAGAATGCATCACTCGTAATGGAATTTTGAATGTGCTGTACGCATGTACGCTCGTATATACGCGTAAACGCGTGTATGTGCGCGTAAATACGCTGCCCGGACGCATCTCTGTTCCATTCTGTTTTTGCGCATCTATACGCTACACAAATATACGGCTCCATATGCGGCTATGTGTTTGGAGCCATTTATTTGCATATGTTGCATATGGTACAATACGCACGTACGCGCGTATACGCGCGGCAGTGTGAATGAGGCCTTACAGTGCACAAGCACCTGATGCTTGGTTATATAAGACGGCCGGCAGGACTGCCAGGAATCTGCTGCCATAGAAGATAAGAGAAGAGCTGTGATTTCGGTGCCTATGTTGTGAATTTAAAGATTAAATACTACTTAATTTCTGAATGCCTATAGCTGGAAAGGTAAGTGGGGGCTCGTTTTAAAGTGATTTCATAGCTGGTTCAGAAGATGGTCATTTAACGTGCACGGTCTTGGCACAGGTTCACTTTAAATTTGCAATGGCCATTCAATTGACCTCAACCCAGGTTCTATGTAATCCATTTCAGCCAGATGTCGGAGAGATCCGCACATCTGGGACGGGTGGGTCTGCTTCCTGAATCCAGAGCCGTACAACTTCCCCACTCTTTCTTCATGTACCAAGCTTGAAGCTGATTGGTGGCTGTGAGAAACATCTACTGACAATTTGAAATGTTAGGTTTCTGTAGGAAATTGACGGCAAGGATCCAGAAATGGGTGTTTTAGGGGATTTCTTTCCTGCATTACAACAAAACAGCTTCCCAGATTAACAGATTCCAGGAGAAGGGGACTCGGGTGGGCCAAAGAACTACTGTAAAGCAAACTGGAGCCCTGAGCAGTTTCTGCATGCATTAGGGCTAGTTCACACCACCCCCAGTGCGTTCCGGCACGATTCTGGTTGGAACGCATCCCGTCCGGCTCACTTTGCTTTGGGGCGTGGTGGTGCATTGAGGTCAATGGCACCGCAGCCACACCTTCCGGCCGCAGTGCGATCGCCCACACCGGAACGCGTGGCACATCAATGACTGTGTTCCGGTGCAGTCAAAAAAAATTGTACATGCAGCATTTTATCTGACCACACCGGAACGCATGCACTGATGTGCCCGGCGTTCCGGGGCAGGTGATCGCACTGCGGTCGGAGGGCGTGGCTGCGGTGCGGTGACTTCAATGCACCACCACGCCCCAAAACAAAGTGAGCTGGCTGGGATGTGATCCAGTGTGTTCTGGCCAGAATCGGGCTGGTGTGAACTAGCCCTTGAAGAAGAACCGACCCTTAGAGGGAAGCTACCCCCGGACTGCAAGTGCTTGTTTTGTCTAGCAGGCTCAGCATGGGAATCAGCGCTCGTCTCTCTCCTCCTATGCTCCGGGTGTGCAATGTCCATTGGCATCCTCACATCTAATGCTAGTCAATGGACCTGCATAAGACATTATGACCAGGGAAGAAGAGGCTGCGGGGACCGGTCTAGCAGCCCAAAGGAAGCCAGGATAAGGTAAGTAGTTCTGCTTTATTCCAGCCTCTAGACAAAGACAAGTCTTGTAGTGCGGGGGTAGGTAGTTTTTTTTCTTTTCCTAGAGTTCTTCTTTAATTCTCAATTGTGACCGGAGAGTACCTTCAATCCCAGTCTGAGAATCCTCATATTTGATCTATTTCTTAAAAACACAACGGATACAATGTATGAAAAGCACTGATAACATGTAAAGAACCTTTATGGACAGAAGAGAAGACAAAGGGAACACCTGGCTGTTCACGAAAACCACATCAGCCAACCACAACCCCGCACCATGTACCTGTTCTGCTCCTCCAGCTTGCTGAGCAGCTCCAGTTCATCTGGACTGAGGTTCTCGGAGTCTGAGGGGGAGATGCTGACGGGGGCTGACAAAGATGAATCGTCCGGGCTTAGGGTTGGACTGGCCATGTCTGCGAGTGGGAGCGGGGCCAGAACGCTCATCTGAAATAACAGGAAATGATTGAGTCAGTGGCTTGTGCAAGAGTGTAACCGTGCCGGTGGAAGCTATGGCAGAGACTACAATGAATGACAAGGAGGAGATAAACAACAAGGAAGTGACAGTTAGGTCAAGTATAATATGGTGTACAGTATGTTCTGTATTGTTGTGGCTGTGTCTGTGCAGTAGCTCCCTATACTGGTCTATGGGGCCATCTGAGCATCTTCTGCCTCATAGAAGCCCATAGGAAACCACGGCATAGGCTTGGGAATAAACCTGTTGAGTTATACAAGTTACAATTGCTGACCCAATTTGTGGGATCTTTCATTGCTACAGCTGTACTTGCATAGCAACGACTCAAACTCATCACATGACAATTGGGGGGTCAGTGGGAAGAATGCTCCTTACATTGGCGGTCAGTGGGAAGAATGCTCCTTACATTGGTGCTCAGTGGGAAGAATGCCCCTTACATTGGTGCTCAGTGGGAAGAATGCCCCTTACATTGGTGCTCAGTGGGAAGAATGTTCCTTACATTGGTGCTCAGTGGGAAGAATGCCCCTTACATTGGTGATCAGTGGGAAGAATGCCCCTTACATTGGTGCTCAGTGGGAAGAAGCCTCCCCACCCCCAGATTAAAAAAAGAAACATTGGTGTTCTGCAGCTGGCTCTGCCAGATAGCATTGGACGTGGAACAACACAGGCCCCATTAAACAGGTGGTCAATCAGACACAGCTCAAGTAATCCATACCAACCCCTTAGGAACCCTAGAGTTTCACACACCCCTGCTTTCAAATGGCTGCTCTAACCCTTCCCTACTCTATCCAAACACAAAAAATTCACATGAAAAATGGATGTAGTAACCCAAAAGGGTCTTTTCCCTATATACATCACTATTTTGACAGGAGCACACCTTTAACTAGGGAGGCACCGATACTAGTATCGGTATCGGTGCCGATACCGAGTATTTGGGTGAGTATCTGTGATGAGAGAGCATGGAGCCGACTTCCCGGACTTCCCGGCCGACTGACCGATTGGTCAGGAAGCTAGCAAATCCGGAAGCCGGGCGCCGTGTAATGACGCAGCGCCCGGCATTCTGATTGGCCAGGAAGCCGGCGCCATGCTCCCTCGTCATCTCATGAATCATAATATTAATTTGGGTCTCCACTTTGCTTTAATGCCTCCCTCCCCAGGAGCATATACCCGCCTTTGCTGCCCCATTCACCAGACATGAAGGAAATACCTAATACCTCCATGTATGGAGAAGAAGGTGACATCCTTTGGTGCTTGGAGATTGGCCCGGCACTGTCACATGGGTGACAAAGAGATTTCCCCGACACGATGTCCAGGTAGAGTGACTCAGAATGGGCTTTTATCACTGTTCCTGGAGGCAGAATGGAGCAATGGGGGGCATGAAGAAAAGGCAAGTGTTGGCTAGGAATGGGGCATCTTGATGGGCAAAGCACGAGTCCACTTTAAGAATGACAGCATTTAGTAAAATGTCTGAGGAAAACATCCAAAATGCAGCTAAAGGTCACCTCAAACTACTAAAATACCAGATATCATTTATTTCAATGGACTTCACTCTCTTCCAACTGAATACCTGCCAAGAACCAGCCTCACCTCGTCCCAACCGCAGCGATCTGCATAGCAACAACTCCGTTCAAACTCATTACATGACGTGAACGTGTATGACCCACTTACAGTATTTCTGCCATCACTGAGGAGTACAGGACTGAAGATCCAAAGCCACACAGCAGCTGAGGCAAATACCGGGGCCACGAATGAGAGAGAGCTGCCAGGGGAGGGGAGGGGTTCACGACATGTAAGGGGGTTAGATGCAAAGCAATCACCATCATAACTTTATGTAACCCGACCGAGGAACAAAACAAACAACCAAAAAAATACACATGATAATATGATTCCACACTTTTGATGGGGAGTAGGAAGCATTCCACCTTTAGAATGATGGTCAGTGGGAAGAATGCCCCTTACATTGGTGGTCAGTTGCAGGAAGGCCCCCCTTACATAGATGGTCAAGTCAGAAGAATGTCCCACTTACATTGGGTGTCAGAGGGAAGAATGCTCCTTACATTGGTGGTCAGTGAGAAGAATGCCCCTTACATTGGTTGTCAGAGGGAAGAATGCCCCTTACATTGGGGGTCAGTGGGAAGAATGCTCCTTACATTGGTGGTCAGTGGGAAGAATGCCCCTTACATTGGTGGTCAGTGGGAAGAATGCCCCTTACATTGGTGGTCAGTGGGAAGAATGCCCCTTACATTGGTGGTCAGTGGGAAGAATGCTCCTTACATTGGTGGTCAGAGGGAAGAATGCTCCTTACATTGGTGGTCAGTGGGAAGAATGCTCCTTACATTGGTGGTCAGAGGGAAGAATGCTCCTTACATTGGCGGTCAGTGGGTATTGGAGAGACTCATGCGATTGGCTCCATTTGCAAGTCTGAATGGAGCCTTATACTAAGCAACAGATCAGATAATCTACATTTTCCAAAAATCCCCCAAAAATCCTCGAGTCATTTTATCTTTTAATCTTTTCAGTATTTACATCTTTTTTTAAAATAAAATATTCAAATGGATTTTAAAATATAGTTTAGCTTCTGCCTACTTTTGATTGGAGCCTCCTACAAATGTGGGAAGGTTGAGTTTCATGCAACGGTTGCCCCTAGTAGACTGCGGGCATCCATCCACAACTTCTCCCCCCCATTCCTTTTACCTTCTTTTTCTCCTCCCATCTTCTTCCTTCCTTCCTTCCCTACTGTGGGTGACGGCTTCTTACTGTTCTCTTTCGCTTCTTCCTTCTTATTTCTTGGCTTGTTGCTGGTACATGTTCTGCAAAACTGGGTTACCCTTGGTAAGGTCTATACTGCACAGCCTTACCCTCCTGCTGCCATGTTATCATCTCAATGTGTTTGATGGTATTATTTTATGTTGTCCGACCTTCTCATGTTGGGTTGTTAAACACAATAAAAACCTATTGAAATCTAGAAGATTTAAAAGGAGAACTATGGGGTTAAGGCTTTTCCCCATAGTTCTCCTTAGGGTAACGGGAGGACACAAACTAGCGTCCTTGCGTCACCCTGGGCTCAGTATACCGCGAGCTGCTGGGATCCGCCCACCTGCGTGACTGACAGCTGGCTCTGCCTATCTAGAGGCAGATCCAGCTGTACCCGCCCCCTCCCCCATCCGTTCCAACAGTCAGCGCTGGCAGATCGGAGCGAGGAGAGGGGAATCCAGCCCCTCCCCCTGTCACGGCAGAGAGACGTGACAGGATCGAGAGGCGAGCGAACGCCGGTATGTGTTCGCTCACCTCCCGATCTACTGAGCCGACCTGTGACAGTCTCATTGTCGCAGGTCGGCTAGAACTATGAGGATGAGAGAAAAGCATCCCCTCATAGTTCTCCTTTAAGAAGGTGCTCCTAACGACAACTCGTTATGTGTATAAAAGACACTCTTTCTTCCATTCAAACCTCCATGGGCAAGACCAAAGAGCTGTCAAAGGATGTCAGGGACAAGATTGTAGACCTGCACAAGGCAGGAATTGGCTACAAGACTATCAGCAAGAAGCTCGGTGAGAAGGAATATTGGCAAATGGAAGGAATACAAAATAACCATCGATGGCACTCGGTCTGGATCTCCATGCAAGATTTCCCCTCATGGGGTGAGGATGGTCATGAGAAAAGTGAGGGATCCGCCCAGCACTACACGGGGGGAGGAGCTTGTGAATGATCTAAAGGCAGTTGGGACCACATCAAACAAGCCAATGGTTACACAATACACCGCCATGGATTGAGATCCTGCAGCGCCCCCAAGGTCCCCCTCCTCAGGAAGGCCCATGTACAGGCCCACCCGAGGTCTGCCAATGAACATCTAAATGATTCAGAGAAGGATTGGGAGAAAGTGCTGCGGTCAGGCGAGACCAAAATTGAGCTCTTTGGCATGAACTCGACTCGCCGTGTTTGGAGGAAGAAATTTTTTAATTCCAAAGTGCATTACTTTGCATTTATCGACATTAAACCTCATCTGCCACATTAATGCCCACTCCCCTATTTTATCCAGGTCCTCCTGTAATGTTATAGTGTCTAAGTCCGTGTCTATTACCCTCCCTATTTTGGTGTCATCCGCAAACACAGAAATATCGCTGTTAACACCCTCCCCGATGTCATTAATAAATAAGTTGAACAATATGGGACCCAGCACAGAACCCTGAGGCACACCGCTCATTACACTAGCCCAGTCTGAAAAGGTGCCATTTACAGATACCCTCTGGACACGTTCCCGTAGCCAGTTCTCTATCCACGTACACACCACCTCATCTATGCCCATAGCCCTCAGCTTGTGTAGCAAGCGTTTGTGTGGTACCGTATCAAAAGCCTTTGAGAAATCCAGATATACCACATCTACCGGCTTACCTCCGTCCATATCTCTACTCACCCCCTCATAAAAAGTTAGCAGGTTAGTCAGGCAGGAACGGTCTTTCCTGAACCCGTGCTGATTGTCATTTGTGGCTTGCCGGGTCACTTTGTGTCAACACCAGGACTCCATTCCTGTGGGCCAGAGGACAGTCTTCCCCTGCACACTGGCATGAATGGTACGTTACCATGGCAACACTGCCGCCACAAGGACGTGCCGTCACCTCAAGGCAACGACAGCTATTATAGCTGAATGCAGAGCTGCTGATGGCACTAGCCAGGTGCAGGGCCTAGTAGGAAGCCCCAAGGGCAGTTGTTGTCAGGGGGGCCCTCAACTGCAGCCCCCGGCATCACCGAAGGGCCCCGCTTCATGCTCAGTATATGTAATGCTACAAAAGACATTGTACAGGAGATGGTCAGAGACTGCGGATACGGGAAAGGTGCTGATGGGGACTGCAGACATGCTGTGGGACACGGACCAAGACTTTTGCAATCACCAAATCTAATGGAGACTTGGCATGGTGTGAGTGAGGCCCTGTCCACACTTAGCGATTTATCGCGCGGTAATTCCCCGCGACATCG